CCTCCGTCGACGTCAGCATGGTGAAGGTCACGTCCATCACGGTGCCGCGGATGCAGGCCTCGCCAGGGGTGGTCGGGCACCATTATGTGGCGCGCGTGTGGCCATTTGGAGGCATGTTGGAAGCCATGGTTGAACCATCTCGAGTTGCCGTCTTGGGCCATCTGGGGCCATCTCGTCTGGTTTGTCACCAGGCGCGAAACCCATCCCGATCCCAGTCGGCGGCGAGCGAGGGGGGGAAGTGAGAAAGAGAAGGCCTTCTCAGAAGGTTCGAAGGTCCCCCGGCCTTCTGAGAAGTTGTCTATGCCGTCCCCGAAGACACAAACAAATTCTCAGAACGCGCGAGGGTTTCTGAGAAGTCCCGCCACCTTCTGAGAAGGCCTTCTCCTTCTCACTTCCCTCCCTCGCTCGCCGCGAATCAGTGCTGACAAGCTATGCACCGTGTCGCGTTCGAGCGGAGCCCGACGTGAGTCCAAACGCGGCAGGATCGCAGGGGCGCCGTTCTCGTGCGGAGTGCATGTGCATGCGCCCGCAGACCGCGGGCGACACGAACATTTGACGCCAGAGGTGTTCCGCTGTCTTTACGTCGGCCCACTTCCGCGGCGGCGACCGAACATAGCGAGAAGGAGTTGCTGTCTTGTTTGAATGTGCGTTTACGAAGGCCAACGTCGTATGTGTCAAATGTTTGTTTTGTTTTTCCCAACGCCCCCGGCTCCGCGCCTCCGCGCAGGCCTCTAGAGTATGACCCTTTGGCGTTTCCAACTTCCGCCCCTCGCTCGCCGCCGACCCAGGCGAGGTCAGGAGGGGAGCAAACACACAGACACAATTAACCGTCGATTCCCAGAAAAATATTGGAAAATATGGGAAGTGGGGGGGAAGACAGAAACCCAGAAACCATGGGAAAATATGGGGAATGATTTCATTTGTGTGTATTTGCCTGTGTGTCCCAGGGCCCCTTGCAGAGGCCGTGGGCGATCCCCTCCTGTCGCCCCCCCTCCCCCCGGCGAGGGCCGCGGCGGGCCCGCCGCCGTGAGAGGGCCGAGCTCCGCCCTCCTCCGTCCTCCTCACTCGTCCTCCCTCCCTTCCCCTCCTCCTCCTCCTCCCTCCTCCTCCTCCTCCCTCTTCCCTCCTCCTCCTCCCTCCTCCTCCTCCTCCTCCTCCTCCTCCTCCTCCTCCTCCTCCTCCTCCTCTCCTCCTCCTCCTCCTCCTCCTCCTCCTCCTCCTCCTCCCCTCCTCCTCCTCCTCCTCCTCCTCCTCCTCCTCCTCCTCCTCCTCCTCCTCCTCCTCCCTCCTCCTCTCCCTCCTCCTCCTCCTCCTCCTCCCCTCCTCCTCCTCCTCCTCCTCCTCCTCCTCTCCTCCTCCTCTCCTCCTCCTCCCTCCTCCTCCTCCTCCGCCTCCCTCCTCTTCCTTCTACTCCTCCTCCTTCCTGCTCCTCCTCCCTCCTCCTCCTCTCTTCTCCTCCTCCCCCTCCTCCTCCTCCTTCTCCCTCCTCCTCTTCCTCCTCCTCCTCCCACTCCTCCTGCTTCCTTCCCTCTCCTCCTCCTCCTCTCATCTTCCTCCCTCCTCCTCCCTCCTCCCTCCTGCCTCCTCCTCCTCCCTCCTCATCCTCCCGCCTCCCTCCTCCTCCTGCCTCCTCCTGTCTCCCGCCTCCCTCCTCCCTCCAGTGGCTCTAAGACGACCGAAGCGATCAGACAAGGCCCGACGGGAGCAGACGAGACGAGACTGTGCGTGGAATACTTCTGTCCATATCCTCTGCAGCTAGGAGATTCGGGTTCCCTTCACCAGAAGCCTGAGGTGCACTGGATATGGATAAATATTTCCCCTAGAGGCTCGATGCTTATCCATATCCAGTGCGCCTCGGCCTCGTGGCGCCCCTTACCAAAAAATCCAAGACGCACTGGATGTGGATACAGTTCTTGCCCGCAGACCAGGCAAGACGAGACGGACATGACGAGTCGAGACGAGGCAAGACAGGACAGGACAATCTTCAGATCGGTCCAAGAAGGCCCCAAGACGCCCAGAGAGAGCCCTCCGCGCGAGGCCAAAGTCTTCAGAACGCGGTGTCGTGTGGCCGGGGTCGGCCCAAACGGGGTTTGGGCGATTTCGTGGGCTTTTGTTGTTTCGATGTCGTTTTGCAGCGAAGGTGGATTGAAGACAAAACGAGGGAGACCAACAACATCGCAAAAACGAAATGAGAACTTGTTTGTCCCTGCTCCTGAGATCTGATGTTTGCTCTCTCGCCTTATGCTCCCGAAGGGGTCTTGAGGCCTCGAGGTGGCCTCACGGATGGCCTGAAGAGGGCCTCGAGAGAGAGAGCACTGAGAAGAGCACACGAGGGTCCCAAGAGGTTACCAGCCTGGAACATATCCCTATCCCTATGCTGGGCACCTTTTCATCACGATGCCAATCTTAGGGATTCCCTTATTTTTGAGGGCGGATCCCTAAGATTGTCATCGCCTTTTGGCGTGTCAATCTTAGGGATAGGGATACGTTCGAGGCTGGTAAAGAGGGGCCGAACAGAGCCCCGAGAGGCCCCGAAGTCCGTCTTGACGCCGACAACGCCAACAGTGGCACACGTACACGCCGGTCGTTGAAAGTAGTCAGGAGGGAAAAAGAAACAGACACAATTAATCGACGATTCCCCAGAAAATGTGAGAAAATATGGGAAGTGGGGGGGAAGACAAACACCCAGACAAATATGCGAAACTATTGGGAATCTTTTTATTTGTGTGTATTTCTGTGTGTGTGTGTCCTGGGGCCCCTTCAAGTAGGTAGTTTGGGATATCCAGATCTTTATCTACTTCTAGCGCCTTCCTACCGTATTCTCTGGCAGGGCCTGAACTCAATCTATTTGATCCGCCTTCCTTCTTCATGTGTGTTACTTACCTCTTCCGACCGGCGTGTGCTTCGCGCTCTACATCCTCCAGAGCAATCCAGGCGGATTCCGAAGGCTCCCAGAGGTCCCAACAGAGCCCCAGAGGTGCCCTCACCGAACTGCAGCAGAGCGCCATGGCTACCCACACGGGCTTCGAAAGAGTTCTGTGGGGCCACTCAGATCCACAACGTGAGGCTCTCCATCGCTCTTTCTGGGACCCCCGTTCGGCTTCTCCTAAGCCTGCCAGCCACATCCATTCCACATACAAGAGGCGAAGTGCTGCGACGTGGTGAGCGGAAATTGGTGGACCCCTCCCCGAAATGGGGAAGAACCATCTCTCTACGTAAGTAAACCACCTGCGCCCAGAGGGCGAGTTTGATCTTAGGGCATGTGGGCCATCTTGAGACTGACTGGGCCCGAAAGCCTCCCATCGATGACCCCGAGTGGCCAACAATTTTCAGGCACCGCATGGTTTGTCAGTGCTTCTGTCAATGAAGAAGGATCGCTTCAATTTGCGTTGCCCCTCTTGAGCCCGAATAGTTGGCAATTGGTGCCCTCTTGAGACGCTTGTCGAGTGTTCCTGGGCTTTTGGACCGCCCTTCAGGGCTCCCCTTGGGGCTCTCTTGGGCGATCTTGGAGCCAGCTCAATGCCTCAGAAAGTCATCGGAAGCGAAAAGGTGAGACGACCACGCTTACTCAACTACCTTGGGTTATTTCAGGATGTTGGCTCCTCGGGAACACTCCTGGGAGGCTCTGTGACAACTTGTCAAACGTATTGAGGCAGTATATGAGCCTCTTGGAGACATACCGGTGGGTATCTTGAGGCATCTCGGGCTATTTTATACGAATGCGAGGTCAAGCGCGATGAGGGGACTGAGTCGGATGAGTTGAGGGGGAAGCGATAGTGGAGTGCGCTTGTAGAGGTGCGGAGAATGGGATGTGGTGCTTGTGCCAAAGACACGCTCACGCTGGGGGGATACATGTAGACGATCGCTGTGCTGCGGCTGGCGTGGGTCTAAAGACGAGGAATTTGCTGTGAAAATGGCCGAGGTACCGCAATTAACAGAGTAGATGTTCATACTCAGAGGAAGTAGAGCCTAGTTTCTGCATCTGGTACCCCCGGGTCTGTCTATCCCACCACCGTGCCTTCGCGGCGTCAATGGGGGCCTGCTCGGTATCTCGGGGGGGGGGTTCTGGGAGGCGTTCGTGTGGCATCCTGGGGCTCTTGGGGTGTCTTAGGCGGGAAAAGTCCCCGGCACCGGAGCCTTCCCCGAAGTCCCCAGACCCCCGGTCGAAGTTCACGACGTCTGAGATGGTTTCCAGAGTGCTCCTGGACGGCCCAAGAGGGCTTCAAGAGACCCCAAGAGGCCCCCAAGACGCCCCAAGACTGCTTTAAGAGAACCCCCTCGAGGGCCCCGGACATCAAAAGTCGTAACACTTGTATTGGAAAACGTCGATGTTTGGCATATTCATTGTTGTGTTCCACCAGCACCCCAGGCAGGTCCGAGAGGCCCCCAAGAGCGCCCCAAGGCCGCCGAAGAGGCCCCCAAGAGCGCCCCAGGAAACCCAGGATGGCCCCAAGACGGCACAAGAGGCGTCCAAGACGGCCCACAAGCGCGTCAAGAGGGCCCTCAAGCCCCAAAAGAGGCTCCCCAAGCGCCCCCCGAGCGGCCCTCCGATCGCTCTCGGCGCCAAGGTGGCCCCCGGAGCATCACGACGAGGCCCCCAGAGTTCCCCACGAAGCTCCTAAGAAGCTCCCAAGAGGCCCCCAGTAGACGCCCAAGTGTGGCCCTCACGTGTCCCCTGAGCTGCCCCATTGGAGACTACAAGATACTACTTCTTGCACGGCTTAAATTGAAGACACTTTCATTCCAGAAGGTATAGAAGCACTAAGTAGACAATTTCCCTCCCCATCACTTCTCCTCATCCTCTTTCCGCCTCCTCCCCCCTCCTCTCCCTCCCCCACCCCTCCCTCCTATCCCCTGCTTCCTCATCCCTTTTCCCTCCCGCATGCCTCCTCTCTCACTCTCTTTCTCTCCTTCATTTCCTGCTGCCTTCTCCTCCCTCCACCCTCCTCCGTCTCTCTCCTCCCGTTCTCACCCCCCCATCGCTCTTTCGTATTTTCTCCTTCATCCTCCCTCTTTTCTGCTCCTTCCTCGTCCTCCTCCTTTCCACTCCCTCCTCCTCCCTCCTCCTCTTTCTCCTCCTCCTCCTCCTCCACCTCCTCCTCCTCCTCCTCCTCCTCCTCCTCCTCCTCCTCCTCCTCCTCCTCCTCTTCCTCCTCCTCCTCATCCCCTCCTCCCTCCGAGCTCTCCCAGGAGATTTGGAGCTGTGCCCCACGATGGTCCCAGGAGGCCCCCAGGCTGCCCAAGGAAGTGTCCACTAGTACAATCGGGCCCGAGAGGCCGCGCAGAGTGCCCCAAACAGGGCGTCCCAGGGGGCCAAACCAGTCAGAACCCAACAGAATCCCACTGTGTGTGTGTGTTTCCTCTCTTTTCTGGAGTCCCCATTGCTTGAGAAAGGGTGTGCCTCGGAGGCACAAAGCATCCCGAGGAGAGTTGCACGGTTGCCCAAGGACCAAGGATGGCCCCAGTTTGCCGAGAGTACCGAGCCCTGTTGTGACTTCAGGCCCCAGCGCGGCCTCCGAGCCGAGGACCCGATCATCGGGACACGGCCCTTCTGACGCGCTATACGCTCGCCCACGTGGCGGGTAGAATTTGAGCGTGCGCGAAGCGCGTCGTGGTTCTGGTACGTATATACGCTCAATACACGGATATGTGTGTGCGCGTGTGCGGATGTTTGTGTTTGTGTGTGTGTGTTACAGTGACAGCGTAACGGGCCTCCAGCGCTGCGTTCTCGATCCTCAGTCTTGAGATGCTGGCAGGGCAGGCTGGCAGGAGGCCGATCTCGAGGTGCTCCTCGCGCGCCCGACAGCCTGGCGGTCTCCAGAGGGCCCCCGGCTCGTGCGGGCCGCGGTGCCGCCAGCAGCCCCCGCTGGTTGCCGCGCGCGGCGGGCCAGGTGAATGCGGTGACGCAGAGCCAGGTCGACGGCTATTGCCGCACCGAGGCGGCGGATCGATCCGAGGGAGGGACGGAAGACGGAAGGGAAGCACAGTGGAGGCCCATGCCAAGAGACACCCTGCTTGCCTCCAGGGTGCCCTGGGTTTCTCGGCGGCTTCGTTGGTTTTCCTGTGGAGAGCGCGGCGCTCCCACACCACAACAAAAGTCAATGGACGTCCTGGGGTCTCAGGGTTGGGTTTCTTGTGGGAAATCTCTTGCGGACTGGCCTCCTTTGTAGTGGAGGAGGGTGCGATGGAGGGAAGGAGTGGAGGGAAGGGATGCGCAGTCGCCATTTGTAGCAGCAGCCTCGTCTTCGTCGTGTTGTGTTCCACCCTTTCAGCTGTGCAGCTTTGTACTCTCAGCTGTAGATGGGCGATGCGGCGCGGTCTTCCGTCCCCATCTACTCGGACCCCATCGAGGAGGCCTCTAGTAGCGGGGGAGGGTGCGATGGAGGGAAGTCGCGGGGGGAAAAGGCATGCGGCATACGCCGTCGCCATCTGTGGCGCTTCCCCCTCTCCGGGACCTCTCTCCCAGTGCAGGTGCCCCCTCTCCGCACGAGCAGCCTGCTCGTGGCTCCCCCGCCAGCCCCCGACGCCTGCGATCTCGCCTTGCCTGATTGAGGCAGGGACTTCTTCCTTAGGTGATGGGCCTGTTTTCCACCACCACCACCACCATAAGTTGGAGGGGGAAGGAGGTGGAGGACGAGGAGGAGGACGAAGAGGAGGAGGATGACGAGGAGGAGGAGGAGGACCCCCTCACCCTCCAATGTATGGTGGTGGTGGTGGAAAACAGGCCAATCATTAGGGGAACGACGAGTGACATAAGCATAAAAACTCGGAGGTCCGCGCAGATTTCTCGGATCCGCGCTGGACCCCCCTCCTTGGCGCGTGGAGCGCGCCAGGGGCGGCGCTGGAGGCGCCGCCAGGGGGGTCCAGCGCCGATCCGAGAAATCCGCGCGGGCCTCCGAGTTTTGTACGTTTCTGTCATTCGTCGTTCCCCTAATGATTGGCTTGTTTTCCACCACCACCACCACCATAAATTGGAGGGTGAGGGGGTCCTCCTCCTCCTCCTCGTCATCCTCCTCCTCTTCGTCCTCCTCGTCCCTATCCTTGGGTCGGCCGAGCGGGAGGGACAGGGGAAGCGGGAGGGGCACGACGTCTGCTGCGTGCCGCTGGCCTCGGCCCCGCCGCGGGGCGCTGTTCCTCGGCTCGCGTGGGCGCCACGTGGCGCCAGGGGCTCCGGGGAGACCGGCTGCAGTGGGGGCCCATGCCAATCGGGGACGGCAAAGAGGGGGGTGTATTTAGTTGTGTGTGTGGGCCCCTTCAGTGCGGTCAGCGCGCGGGCGCGCTCCCTTCCGAGCGTCTCCCGCACTGTGCGCGCGAGGACCACCGCCGGCGCGGTGGAGTCAGGGAAGAGGTCAGGCGTCGACGAGATGCTCTTTATGATTCGGGGGCGGAAGAGAGGGGGGTGATGACTAGGGGGGGGTGGATATCATGGCGGGGGCCATGATATTTCCCCATGTTTCATGGCGCCTCTTCTTGCTTCCTTACGTCCCTGGCCCCCCCGCAGGGCCGCGCACATGCCGCCGGTCATGATTTGCACCCCCCCCCTCTTGGACACCCCCCTCTTGGCCGCTCCCGAGCCAAGAAGCACCCTGCCTGCCTCCAGGGGTCGGGCCGAACGAAAGTGGGGGACAGGGAAAGGGGGGGTACGAAATCCGATGTATGTATGCAGCTGGTTTCGGCCCCGCTGCCGGGCCCATTTCTCGATACATGGGCGCCTCCCGGCGCCGGGAGGCGCTGGGAAAATCAGCTGCGTGAGCTGATTCTCTATCCTACCCTTTGCTATCCCCCCCTTTTGTTCCCCCCGAAGGGTGCCCTGGGTTTCTTGGGTTTCGATGGCTTGGCTACGAACAGCGTGACGTTCCCACATCAAAAGTCGGTGGACGTCATGGGGTCTCAGGGTTGGGTTTCTTTTGGAAGGTTTCTTGTGGTCGGGCCCCCACTGTACGTGAGCTGTCGGGGGCCTCCAGGCGGGGGTCAGTGCAAACGGGGGTCAGCCAGAGCGCGGGATCTTGCAGGATCCTACAGCGCCCGGTGTGCACTGACCCTGGCTTGGGAGCAGGCGTCTGCAGGATCCTGCAGGCTCTTGCAGGATCCTGCAAAGCCTGGCTGACTCGGGTCTGGATTGACCCAGGTCAGCAGGTCCCCGAAGCTGATCCCCCCTGTCGTCCGCCACGATCCTCCGCCCCTTCGAGGGTCGAGCCCCCTTCCTGCCAGGCCCTGTGAGCGGGGGCTCGGGGCGAGGGGGGGGCTTGGGTGACCAGTAGGGAGGAGGGGGTGGGGCGTGCTGTGTGAAGAGAGCGGAATGATATCAATACCTCGCGCTCAGTGGGTCGTCGACGCGCGAAAGCTGAAGGGCACGGACAAGCAGGAGCATGCGTTTTTTCGGCCGCCATTCGCATGGCTGGATCATTGCGCGGCCGGGCATGTTTGTGGGCACGCGGTTGCGTGCACATGCGGCTAGCCAGTGCCTGCTTGAGGTCCAGTGTCAAGTTGTGCGTGCATCGCCGATCATGCAAAGTCATTGGCGCGGGAGCGCCAGGTGCAATCATCTTGCTTTGTTTTTGCTTTCAAGGATTCTGGCTTGCCCACCGTTGCCCCTTCTTCTCGGAATAGCGTCCACGATGGCTCAAAAGGTTCCAACATTTCATCGAGTCGCCCTCACGCTGAAAGCCGATGCAACGACTGACGATCACGTCACCACCCAGAATTCCCAAAGTGTTACCCTGGATCCCATCGGCAGACCACAGACAGCCCTACGGAAATCCCAAGGCCTCGGAGTGCCTGCGAGCGCCTGGGAGCGCCTGGGAGCGCCTGGGAGCGCATGGGGGCGCTTGGGAGCTCCTCGGAGCGCTTGGAAGCTCCTTGGAACGCCTGGGAGCGCCTGGAATGCGCCGGGAACCGCCCGGGACAGTTTGGGACCGCTTGGGAGCGCCAGTGAGCGCCTGGGAGCGCCTGGGAGCGCCGATGTGCACAGCATTGTATTTCTGCACGTGGAAACGGAAGGGCCTAAAGTGACATGCGAGTGCAGCCCGCGCATTCGCATCGCATTCCGTTCTCTCGTGCAGAGGATGACCGGGGTCGGAAGCCACGGACGTGCGCCGCAGAGTTTTTTTGCCGCGGGTCGAGAGAGCTAATAATATGTGAACATCAGAAGCATGTGCTTTTGCAGTGGATGGAGGCGGCGCTGCCCTCGGGACCCGCCTGGGACCTGGCTGGGGAGCTGTTGGAGCAGGGCTCGGAGCTTATATTCAAGCAGTGGCGAAGCGTCCTGGCTCGCCTGTAGGCCCACCACCGGATATCCCGAGAGCCTTTTGTGGTCTGCGCGAAATGTTCTTAGAATACTTATGGCTGAGATTGTCTTGTGTCAGCAAACAGGGCTTATATTCTAAGAACATTGTTTTTAATGTTTGGAATATGTGTGGGTTCTGAGATCATTCCGTGGTCGGACTATAGGAATGCCAGGACGGTCGGTCCTTGCTCAATCCATATATTCCCAAATCAGAGCTTGTCTTTTTAGGTGTCCTAGCGGTTTCATATGGTTTTGTGAGGGTTGTCACCGATTTCCACGGCCCGCCCGGGTGTTCGGGTGCCCAGGTGCTTGGGTGCCCGGGTGCTTTCTAGCCCAATAGCCTTATAGCCCTATAGCCCCATAGCCCTATAGCCTAACAGCCCTGTAGCCCTACAGCCCTATAGCCTTATAGCCCTATAGCCCCATCGTCCTAGAGCCCTGTAGCTCTATAGCCCTACATACTTACAGCCCAATAGCCATATCCCTAGTCCTATAGCCTAATAGCCCTATAGCCGTACAGCCCTATATCCCTACAGCCCTAAAGCCCTATACCACTATAGCAGTATAGCCCTATAGCCCGCGAGCCCTATGTGCCCATAACCCTGTAGCCCATCAGAGCCCTATAACCCTACAGCCCTATGGCCCTCTAGCCATGGAGCCCCATAGTCCTATATATAGTCATGGCCCTCTGGCCCTACAGCCCGAAAGCCCTATAGCCTTATAGCCCTACACGACGGCCGAGGCAGGCCAGGCGTGACGCGCCACGCCCCGGCGCTCCGAGGCGGCGCCCACCAGATTGGTGGCGCCGCGAGGTGGGAGGAGGCCTCCTCTCGGGGAGGCGGAGGCCTTCTCTCACAAGGGAGGAGGGGGAGGAGGAGGAGGAGGAGGAGGAGGAGGAGGAGGAGGAGGAGGCCACGAGATCTCCCAGATGTCATGGCCCGTCCTCTTATTCCAAGCACGTTCCCTGGCCCCCTCCCTGGTCCGCGCGCATGCCCCGGGCCACGATTTGCACACACACACACACACACACACACACACACACACACACACACACACACACACACACACACACACACACACACACACACACACACACACACACACACACACACACACACACACACACACACACACACACACACACACACACACACACACACACACACACACACACACACACACACACACACACACACACACACACACACACACACACACACACACACACACACACACACACACACACCCTTTTTTTCTTTGGCTCAAGCCTGCCCTGGTGCCAGGGTGGGCAGGAACGCGCCGTGCCTCTCCTTCTCGTAGGAGAGAGCGGCTCTGTCCTGCTCCCCGTGTCGCGGCCCCTGCCATGGCGGCGTCGGGCGGCGGCACCAAGGGGATGGATCTACGGTCGGACGGCGCTGGACTGGTCATCGCGATGGCCGTCCAAGGCGCTGCTCAGGGAGCGGCGGCGGGCGGCGCCTCGCGGCAGGCGATCGCGGCTGCCGTGGCCGCAGCGCTGCGCACCGCCTGGGCGCTCCTGGCGGACGGCGGCTCCGAGGAGGACGCCGAGCTCGCTATGCGCTGGCAGGCCATGGAGCCCGCCATGCGCCAGCAGCTGCGGGGCGTGCAGGCGTGCGGCGCAGCCCGCGCCAGGCGCAACGTCGGGGCGCACGTGGTCCTCGGCAAGGGCGTGGAGGCCCTGCGGGAGGCCCTGGTGCGGCCGCAGCGCGCCCAGCGTGGCGGACGCTGCGGGCCCCGCGTGCCGGCGCAACCGGACCTGGCCGAGGCGGGCGGCGGCGGCTCGCCCCGCCCTCTCCGCCCATGGTGCCGAGCGCGGCGGTGGCCACGGAGGTGGGCGGGAACCCCTTCGACGACCACGCCGACGACACCATGCTGGAGGGGTCCGTCGGCGACGGCGCGGAGCTGGACGTGGACGTGTGCAAGGGCACCGACCAGGTCGTGGACAGCTCCGAGGCGCGCGTGGACGCGAGCGAGCAGGAGCACCAGAGCCCCTTCGAGGAGGACACGGTGCTGGGCGAGGTCCCGCCCTTCCCGCAGCTCAGCGCGGCGGTGGGCGAGGAGGCCGTCGGAGGCCCCTTGGAGAGTATCGTCGGCGCCGAGCTGCAGGGTCAGGAGAGCGAGGAGGCGACGAACGACGACGACTTCGTTCTCCCCTCGATCCTCGCCAAGATGGAGGAGTCGATGGAGGCCCAGCGGCGGTCCCAGGCCAGCCTCGTGGAGGACCTGGCCAAGTTGCGTGCCCTCCGAGCGCAGGAGCTATCCGTGGCTCTGCGCAATGGGGTGGCGGGCGCCGTCGACGAGGCCAAGGTGCGCCTTCGGGCCGCCGTGGATCGGCTCCGTCTGGCCGAGGCCGCCTTCGACAACAAGATGGCCACCTTCCAGCGGCAGTGCGAGGTCCTGCAGCGGGCGTCCCAGCGGCGGTGACGGTCTCGCTGAGGGCTGAGGCCGTGGATGGGGTCAGCAGCAAGAGTGCCAGCTGCGTGGATGGCCTCGCGGATTGCTGGGACGGCCGTTGCGCCTCTGCCCGTCGTCGGGGTGCGGGTTCCGCCTCTGAGAGGGCCCCAGCGGTAGAGACAATGCCCCCCTTGGCGCGGTGTCCGCCGTGGCTGAGGGGCCTGAGGGGGCGGTCCCTCGGGGCGCCTGGGCCCGCATTCGCCGTTGGCGGGGCCTGGGCACGGCGCGTGTTCTCGCTTTTCAGCCCCCCTTGGCACCAGGCTGAGGGGCCTAGGGTGGGGCGCGGCCTCGAGGGGGCCCTTTCGCTCTGCACCCTGGGGAGTTCGGCGGGGGCGCTGCCCGCGGCTCGGCTCCGCACAGGCTCGGCAGGCGATGACCTTCGCTCGAGAGCCCAGCGCACGGGCCTGGCGAGGTGCAGACGCCCCAGGCTGCCGATGCACCAAAGCACCAAAACACACACACACCTCTTTGGACACCCCCCTCCTGACCGCCCCCGATGTATTGGAGGCCCCCGCCTTTCGAGGAGGCCGGCCCCCTCGCAGACGTCGAAGGGCCGAAGCACATCGGAGCAGCACGCTGACACGAGGGGAATGGCCTCCTGAATGGGCGGGCTGCCTCTCAGGAGGCGGGGGCCCTCTTGGAAGCGCCCAGGGCCTCAAAAGGCAGCCTTCTCAGAAGCCCTCCAGGCTCTGAGCGCCCCAGCCTTCAAGGTACCCTGAAGCCCTGAGCGCTTCTAAGAGGGCCCCCGCCTTCTGAGAAGCAAGCCCGCCTCTCGAAGCACATCGGAGCAGCACTCGTGGGCTCGATGCTCAGGCGGGTCTGAACGAGCGACTGCTCTCAAGCAGTGGCGAAGCGCCCTGGTTCGCCTATAGCCCTGCCAAACAATGCTCTAAGAACCTTTTGCGGTTCCCACGACGTGTTCTTCGACCATTTCTGGTTGAGGCTGGTCGGGCGTATGGTCTAGGAACGTTGTTTTTGTTATAAGAACATTCTTGGGTTCTACGGACATTTCGTGGTAGGACTATACGAATACCGGGACGGTCGGTCCCTGCTCAAACGCATGTGGGCTCGATGCGGAGGTGGGTCTGAACGAGCGACTGCTGTTCAAGGAGCGATACCAACCAGAAACGCCACGAGGGCGAGACACCATCCGGTGCACGGTGCGGTGGAAGCTGGGTTCATTCTTTCTCTCGTTGCGCATTGCACTTGTCGTAGATGCTCAAACTATTGCTTACCGTGCCAGAAGATGTGGCAGCATTCGTAGTACCGAAGACAGTGCCACCACTACGACATTCATGATTCCGACGACGATTTCTGGTGGTATTTTTTATGCCACCGTGACCACCACTGTTCCTGGTATTGGCGCGCGCAGGCTTCTCCAGTACTGACACCAGTGCTCGTGCCACGCACAGGTATCACAGTCGAGACGCTGAAGTAAGAAGCACTATGGGCTCAGGGGGGCTCCGGCTTTCGGGTCGCTTCCCGGATCCAGGTCGGGGATCCTGTTCGTGGCCGAGGCTCGCCGTGGCGGGAAAAGCCCCATCGCTTCTTACTAGGCGCTCTTCATGTCATCGCGATGGTTGCACGAGTAGATATCGTGTTCGTACCTTGCAGGCATTTGTGTTCGGCGTGGGGCGGGGCTCGACCTAAACGTAGTTTCAGCGATCTCGTGGACCAGCATGGAGATCCACATTCATTCTGAAGAGGCCAACTCTCGAGTTTTCGACCTGAGGAGCGCGCCAGCGATCGTCTCACCAGCACCTCAGGAGCAGGACAACGGACGAAGTCTCAACGCAAAGGACAATCTGCTGACCGTTCGGTGTGCGGTCTCGTGGACCGTGTTCGTTTAGGTTTCGTTTGTAGCAACAGCGGAACGGGGACGGACAGAGGGAGAACGAACGCAAAATTGGAACGGACAGCACTGCCTGGGTCGTGCCTTGGCGTGGGGCTGTTTGACAATAAGGCTTGGCTGGCGCGCGAAATAACCCCTAGCCCTGATACTTTGATGAAGACGTGGCCTCACTGAGGTTGCCTTTGACGCAGCAGGAATAATTCATATGGGCGGCTTGGTTCGATACACCTGCAGAAACGATCCCCTATCCCTGCTGTTCCTGGCCCTCCTAAGTTAGGTCGCCTCCCAAAGGGTTTGGGGTCCTTTTATGCCTAATCGAGCCTGGCCAGGGGTGGGGTGGGGGGGTGGGGCAGGGCGCCGGGGCCTGCGTTTTTCGGCAACGCGCAAGAGTGACGTCTCGTTGGAGTGGCGTTCTGGTGCAGGCACAGTCCGAGTGGGAGACCGACTGCAGAATGGATTTACTCCAAGATTGGATGGTCCGCCGTGTTTCTGCTAAGCACGTACAGAACGTCCTCTAGATTCAAGAGGGAACAAACACAGAGACACAATGAATCGACGATTCTCCAAAAAATATAAGAAAATATTGGAAGTGTGGGGGGGAAGACAAACACCCCGAAACTTTTTGGAAATATGGGGAATCCTGTTATTTGTGTGTATCTCTTTGTGTGTCCCTGGGCCCCTTCATAGATGTTCGTAGGTCTGGATTCTGCAGCCGTGTTCCCTTGGTATCGCTCGGACGTGTGCATTTTTTCTCGGCGGAGCTTATTAAGGAGCATCCTGGATCATCCTGCGAAAAACCACGCACGAAACCGAAAACAGCACAGGGAATGGACGTCCGAGCGATGGCGAGGCTCCTGCTCGAGCAGAGGGACTCCCCGCTGGCCGAATCCCGTGCGATTCGCGGCGGCTTCTGCGCTCGGGCGTGGCCCCCGCGCCCCCCGAAAGCCGCGCACGAGAGGTCACCCCGGCCCAGGATCGAGTCAGCCCTGTCCCCCTACAGGGGGAATTTTGGACGAACAATAAAGAATATTCAAACCATATTCAAAAGATGCCCAACACATACTCAAACAATCGTCCCCAGAGTATTTTTCCCCACATCCTAAGATCTCTCCTCCTCCTCCCTCTCATCTCCTCCTCCTTGCTTACTCCTCCTCCTCCTCATCATCATCATCATCATCACCATCACCATCACCATCACCATCACTTCCCACTCATCCTCATTATCATCAGCATCACCATCAGCATCGCACGATCACTCATCACCATCAGCATCGCACGATCACCATCATCATCATCATCATCATCATCATCATCATCATCATCATCATCATCATCATCATCATCATCACTACACGCTCACACATCATTTCGTCATCATCATCACCAGTCACCCTCAGCATCGCACGATCACTCATCATCATCACTCATCATCACCATCACCATCATCGTCACTCGATCACTCACTCACTGACTCACTCATCATTATCATCATCATCACTCACTCACTCACTCACTCACTCACTCACTCACTCACTCACTCACTCATCATTATCATCATCATCATCATCATCATCATCATCATCATGATCATCATCATCATCATCATCATCATCATCATCATCACTCACTCATCACTTCGTCATCACTCACTCGTCTGTGAGTGAATTGTGAGGAAGTCTCAGGCGGGAGCCCCCTCCCTAGGGTTCCCGCGCTTCATGTTGGTAATCCGAGCGGGTCATCGCAACCTGCCACTGTCGTCATTTTTGGGTTCCTCAGGTTTGAATTTGGAGGAAGTATCAAGCAGGAGCCTCGACTGTCAGTGAATTGTGAGGAAGTCTCAGGCGGGAACCTCCTCCCTATGGGTTCCGCAGCTCATATTGGTAATCCGAGCGGGTCATCGGCAACCTGTAATTGTCGCCATTTTTGGGCTCCTCAGGCATAAATTTGGATGAAGTATCAAGTGGGAGCCTCGTCTGTGAGTGAATTGTGAGGAAGTGTCAGGCGGGAGCCCCCTCCCTAGGGTTCCCGCACTTCATGTTGGTCATCTGAGGGGGTCATCGGCAACCTGTAACAGTCGTCACTTTGGGGGTTCTAAGGCTTGAATTTGGAGGAAGTATCAAGCGGGAGCCTCGACTGTCAGTGAATTGTGAGGAAGTGTCAGGCGGGAGCCCCCTCCCTAGGGTTCCCGCACTTCATGTTGGTCATCTGAGGGGGTCATCGGCAACCTGTAACTGTCGCCATTTTTGGCTTCTCAGGCCCGAATTTGGAGGAAGTATCAAGCGGGAGCCTCGACTGTCAGTGAATTGTGAGGAAGTCTCAGGCGGGAGCCCCCTCCCTAGGGTTCCCGCACTTCATGTTGGTCATCCGAGCGGGTCATCGGCAACCTGTAACTGTCATTTTCGTGGGGCTCACCAGGCTTGAATTTGGAGGAAGTATCAAGCGGGAGCCTCGACTGTCAGTGAATTGTGAGGAAGTGTCAGGCGGGAGCCCCCTCCCTAGGGTTCCCGCACTTCATGTTGGTCATCCGAGCGGGTCATCGGCAACCTGTAATTACTCCGGAGTAGGTGAGAGCAGGACGGCGGGCGAGAGGAGAGTGTCCGTCAGGGCGATGAAGAAAAGGGTAAGGGCAAGCTAAACAGATTATCATGCGGGGTCCTTCCGTCGGAGTAATGTTTGACTATTTTTGAATACTCCCCCTGTAGAGGGACAGGCCCGACTTAAGCCTAGGATCACTCTTTGCGTGTAGCCGAGCAGCCCATTACTGCCTTGGGTGGCCCTCCCAGGGCGCTTTTCGATGCGACCGATCGGAATCGACATCGATTCCGGCTGGCCCGATGCGGCTCGATAGCGGTAAGCCGACGATGTGGCCCGATGTTTGTGTGGCGTTGCTGTGCATCCTGGCGCAGCCGATGCTATTCTATTCCGACCCGATCAGATTTCCCGATGCGATGCTGATCGATCCTGCCCTCCTGGCCTTTTCCTGAGGCCTCGTAGAGTCTCGATACCAGCCGCTCCGACACAAGGCCTATGATCATGGACTTCGGACTGAGGCCCGCGCCATGCAGCGTTCCAGACGCCGTCCGCTCGGGGCGGTAATGGATGGTCGATGTTCCTCGCCGGTGGCAGTTGCGCGGGTCTGGGGAGTCTGATGTGGCGAGGGTGTGGTGCGTGCCGGGAAGAGGGAGGCAAGAGGGAGAGAATATTTGGACGCCCGAGATGGGTACGGGAAGAATGGGCACGATGCCCAACAGCAGTTCCTGTTCGTTTTGAACAGGGCTCGCTGTCCACGCCGCCGCGGCCTGTATCCGTTTGAGACAGAATGCCGCCTGCCCAACAGCGGCCGCTGTCGGTTTGGGACAACCTTTGTTGTTGGGCATCGTACCCATTTTTCCCGTACCCATTTCGGGCGTCCAAAGGATAGTTCGCCGCTTGGAGTGTCCAGGCCTGGCAGGAAGCGCGTTGGGATGAGGCCTGGACAAAGCCGCGTGTCCCCAGCCACAGACAGAAGACAGCATTGCACACCTATGGGGGGGGGGGGGGGGCGGGGGCGGGCGGGGCGACCGAGGAAGGCGCCGCGGAGGAGTCGGTCGGGCAGGAGCTGCGGGAGGGAGGCAGAGGCGCGAGGGGTGCAGCGGGCGACGCGAGCCACGTGGATATAATTACGTCGGGCTTGTCCCTCTGCAGGAGAAATAAAACATGATCAGGGGACTTTTTTTCTTTGACCATTTTGGAGCATTTTTTGATGGTTTTTTTTGTACAAGCATTTTTCGTAGAAAATCCCCCTGTAGGGGGACAGGCCCGACTTTCTGCCGCTGGAGCGGGGCACCAGGCCTCGCGTCGAAGAGGAGCTCCGAGAGGTCGCTGCCCCCGCGGGGGGCGTGTGCCCGCACACGCGCGGGGGGGGGAAAGATATGCTGCCCTGCTCAGATCGTGTCTCCGCAGTTCGAGGTGCTGCTCAGACGAGGCTCGGGGGCGGCAAGGAGGGGGGTGATGACTAGGGGGGGGTGGACATCATGGCGGGGGCCATGATATTCCTCGGATTTCATGGCGCCCCTTCTTGTTCCATCACGTCCCTGGTCCCCCGCTGGGCCGCGCACGTGCCGCCCGTCATGGTTTGCACCCCCCCCTCTTGGACACCCCCCTCTTTGGCCGCTCCCGAGAGGCGCCCCGGCGGTCTCGTTCAAGATGACCCTCCACCCGAAGACCACCGACGCGAAAGGCGGCCGGCGCGTGGGCCGCACGGCGGCGGGAGGCTCGGGGAGCCCCCTTGGCGAGGTCTGCAGAGCGGTGCCGTGCGCGCCGTGCCCCAAAGCGACTCCCTCTGGCTCGGCATCGCTCGGACGTGTGCATTTTTTCCTTCGGCGAGGACCATCGAGGAGAATCCTTGAGCCTCTGGCGAAAAAAGTCACGCACGAGACCAACAAAAACACAGGGAATGGACGTCCGAGCGATGGCCAGCTGGTGGCGGCGGCCAGTCGGAAATTGGAACTTTTACACTGCCAGTGGCGGGCTGTCTTTCAATCCCAGGAGTTCTGGAGGGTCAGGGACGACGCTGGGGTGGTGTGGTGTATACTTTTTTCCCTGATGTCCTGGGGAAGCAACGGAAAATGTATACACCAGGGTCCCGTATACACCAGGATCCGCTCCCAAGTGCAAATTTCAATGCAGGGCCAGACAAAGCGTCGGTGTATAGAGTTCGATTCCCTAGCAAGGGCTGGCCAAACCCTAGGAGCGTGTTTCTTTATTGCTTGGGGCATAATGGGCATTCTAGCCCCAGGCCCCCCATCCCCCTCCCCCTACAGCGTAACGCTCCTCCCCCCCCCCCAGTGCGCTCTGGGCACTGCCGCCGTGCGCACGGTGAGGGGGAGGCGTTACATTATACCCCCCCCTTGGCCCCTCCGCCCCTCCCATCCTCTAATGCCCATAATCGCCGAAAATACAGACACGCGCTCCAGGCCTCCTAGACGGGGTCGGGGTAGATGGGGTCGGAGGACCACTCCTCATTTCCGATGCATCGGCGATGCGGCTCGATGCGGAGCCCCCTTTTTCCACGCCGGCGTCGCCGATGCACCGCGGTCGTCGCCGATGCATCGCCGATGCATCGCCGATGCCTCGCCGATGCACCGGCTGTACGGCGCGATGCTCTCCACCCCATCTACTCCGACCCCATCTGGGAGGTCTCTACAGACGTTGCCTGCTTTGGGCGGGGCCAGGACGAGGGCAAATCTGTTCCAGAGCGTTCCGGAACGCTCTGAGAAGGCTGCAGCGCCCGATGCATCCTCCAGAGCCGCGCGATCTCAGAGGCTCTCGATTTGTCTATACCAGGTTTTATCCTTGTCCCAGTGGTGTCGTACTGTTATGATCTTTCAGTTGCCCGGTCTGCACGTCAAAGGGAGGGGGAGGAGGAGGAGGAGGAGGAGAAGCCGGATTAGGAGGAGAAAGAGGATGCATTTTGGAGGCCTCTTGGGGCCTCCTGGAAGCCTCTTGCAGCCCTCTTGGAGGCCTGTGGGGGGCCTCTTGAGGCCTCCTGGAAGCCTTTTGCAGGCCAATTGGGGGGTCCTCCTGGGGCTCACGGGAGCCTCTTGGCAGCCTGCTGGCGGTCTCGGGGGTAAGCGTAGAGCGGAGGGCTTAAAATGTCGGTTCGTCTTCCCTCTCTGGTGGCCCACTTGGGCCGTCTTGGAGGCCTCTTGCTCCGTCGTGTGATCTTCTTGGGCCATCATGGGGCCATCTTGGGCTGCGCCTGCTACAGGGCCACCACAGGGCTGAACGCTATGAGAACTTCGTGAACGCTGAGAGAGTGCTTTACGCTGCTTCCAGCGGTATCCTGGTTGACGGCTTTCTGCCGGCATCCAGTTCTGAGCAATAAGTTGCTCTGTTCGAACATGCTATTGATCATTGCGTTTCCGAGCATTGAGTTCACGATAGTGAGCTTCTGATCAGTGTCGAAACATGAATTTGTGATTCGTCGAATTTATACGCGAAGGGTTTCGCCCTCTGCCGCCGGTCCACGTTCTGACGGTTTGCATGGCCACGCTTGGTAGGTAGGTCGGTTCGTTGTTATGTCGGTCGGTTGATTGGCAACTCGGTTGATTGGTTCGTTGTCCAAACTCATCACGGGCAGTCAATTGGGGCTGGTTGCCTCGGCTGGTTGCGCGCGTGTGTAGTCATTACAATGGTAGATGGTGGCATCCGGGTCGCGCTTCCAGTGCGCTTTATTATGAGGTAATGCGGCTTTGGGAGCGCGCACCCCTAGCTATTGTCAGAGGATTCGTGGCCTCGAGCCTGAGCCAAGTTCTCAGGAGACGACAGATGATTGTTTTCTGATGCATTGTTTGGCCGATCAGCGCGGGCCCTCGCCCCCACCTCCCCCCCCCATGGAGTAGTAGATCTTGTCTGTCTTGGGTGCCTGTTTCGAGCAGGTGGAGCCTCCCCCCATAGAACGCAGTGCTGCAAACAGTCGCGTTAAGCAGAGGTCCTGAGCCAGAGCTCCCCCTTCCCCCGCCCCCCCCTTCGGCCCAATGCCGAAACGCCGAATAAGAAAATGCTGACCTGGAAGGCCGAGACGTCGCCTCCCGAGAGGGAGTCCTCTGCGCTGGAGGGTGCCGGCGCTCTCGGGGCGGCCTCCGTGGAGCGCCTTCGTGCCCCGCCCTCGGGAATTCCCCCGGAGCGTCAGGGCGCAGTTTTTTTTCGAGGGATTGAGGTCTCGAAGGCGCAGGCTCGTGGCGCCTGCGGCGGGCTCGAATAATGTTTGGCGGCGCGCACACGGGGGTAGGGGGAGGGGGAAAGGCGTCTCAGAAGGAGGCTGCTCCTCAGGAGGCGCGGGCGGTGCATCTGCAGGCAATGGCTTTGCCTTCCAAGAAGCAGGGGTGCTTCTAGGAAGCCTTCCCCTTCCCCCTACCCCCTTGCGCGCGCCGCTCATCTTTGCAAACATTTGGCGCCTTTTGCGGGCTTCGTCAGAGCCTCGCAGACTGCCGACGCCCCCGCCGCCCCCTCATTCTCATCCGCGACCGCGGGGTGCTTCGTAATTTTCAACGGGTTATGGCATCGGGAGCGCGAGTCTGGAGTAATTTACAAGGGGTTGTGGCGTTGGCGGAAGGAGGAGGGTGCAGGAGGAACAGGCTGGTGCTGAGGAGGAGGATGGCGAGGCGCGACGCTGGGTGTCCCAGGAAGGGGATGGAGCAGCAGGGCCTGCTCCCTCGCCTGGTGACCGGGTGATGGCCGCGCGCCGAGGCGGGGTGTCCTTCAAGAAGTCCGAGGGCGTGGGTGCGCCCCCCGCCTCGGGGCAGGCGTGGGCGCAGGAGCAGAATCGAGCACGGCCGGAGCGAGGCATCACAGGTCGAGGTTCAAGGTTTTCCGAAGTGTTTGCAGGGCCTCGGCAGGGTTCCAGCCTGGGGGTGCTCTCCAGCAGCTGCATCTCGCCGAGAGCGTTCCGGGGGTGCCCGGATCGCCCCGAACGGCCGCCGGAGGTGCGAAGTATGTCCCGAAAACAAGTTGGGACGGGGATGCGGCAAGGCCGATGTGGAAGATCGAGGATGGTTCGGGGAGGGCAGCCGATTGTTATTCGTGCTTGTCGGGCGTTCTTGTGCCTCCTGGGGAGGGGGTGCCCTCGGATGCTCTGTGTGTTTGGGCCAGCGGGTGGGTCGCATGTTCTCGAGGGATGTTCCTCTGCCCCAGATCCGACGGTGAAGAGAAGGATGTGCTCAGGACTTTGGGGGTGGGCCTTGCTCAGGACTTTGGGGGCGGCCACCGTTCCTGGTCGGCCTTGCGCAGGGCCTTTGGGGATGGGCCCGTCTCTGCGTCGTTCCAAGCAGACCCGGCCTGTACTTGCCCCCCACCACCCCTGCTAGGGGAAGGGGGGGGAGGAGCGGCATGCTGGAGCCGGCCGGGGGGTCGAGGTGACCCAGCTTTGGTTCCTGCTAGCCGCAAGGGGGGAGGATGGGGCTCGACAAATAGGTCGGTTTCGACCCCAGCTCAGACCTCCCGGCCGCCTCAAAATGGAATGGAGCATTTGGCGATGCGAATCCGAAGCGGCAGCGATCTACAAAGAGTCAGTTCGGTTCCAATCCTGATCCTTGGGCAATTCCCCAGAGAGAGGGGGGGGAGGGCAGAGGGAGGAGGGTGATAGTACCATCCAATTGCGCTGGCACGCGCTCACGCGCATGTTCGCAACTACGTTTGTGTCAGTTGCGTTGCCACGTTGCAGCATGACGCGGCCGCGGGGCTACTTTGGCGGGGTTGTCAGGGAGCTTATCGGGCGACTTCTAGGCTTCATGAACTCCTGGGAGCTTCCTCCGAGTCAGGGGATCGAATACAAAATTGATTTACCCCAGAATTAATTTTCACGTCGAATCTTCAATTCAAATATTAGAACTTTCTTAGATCGATGAACGTTCCACGAATTTGCCGTGGACTCGACGTGGATTTTCAAGTCTGGGGTAAGTCAATTCTGTAGTCCATCCCCTACGCGATTCTTGGGCACTGGAGGTGTCCTGGGGCCTCCTTGTGGCTGCAGGCCATCTCCTGCCATCTCCTGTGGCGTCTGGGCAGTTCTTCGGGCAGCTGGGAGGAGCCGGCGGGCCGGCCTGCAGGTTCGCTGGATTATCTTGGCGTGCCCTTGCTGGACCGGAGGTCACGAAGAGTCAGGAGGGGACAAGAACACACTCACAAGAAATCGTCGATCCCCAGGAACATGTGGGAAAGTATGGGAAGTGGGGGGAAGACAAAAACCCAAAACACATGGAAGAATATGGGGAATCCTGGGATTTGTGTGTATTTATTTGTGTGTCTCTGGGCCCCTTCAAAAAGGGCTGAGGAGGACAGCATCGAATCCACCTCTGGCAGGGTGGCGCATCGAGTTGAGGGCACGCCCCGCTGGAAGCTAAGGAAGTCTGCAGTGCAGATTGTAGGGGCTCCGAATTGAACGAGTTGCGCTGGCTCGTGCACGAGAGGGCACGTGAATATACGTATGCACAGGTACAGGTCGCACTCGTCCTGGCACTTCCGGCAACACATCTTACGCAGAGCGTATTTCAGCTCGTCCATGACGAACTCAGGGACGCCCTCGAGAGCCCGTTGCTGGCATCGATGCAGATATTCTGTCATCGAGCTGACGCCCGCGTCGTGCACCCAGTCAGAAGCAAAAATATTCGCAAGAAAGTCTGCAAATTGTTGCGGCGAGGCGTCTGTTGATGAAGCCTGCCGCCTATTGCGCGCGGGAAGGAAGCGTAGGCCGTCCAACTGATCCAAGTCTTTGAACTCCTTGAGAATCTGTTCAGCCCTGTCGTTCCTGCACCGCTGGATTTCTTTGCGCGCCTGCTTTCGTATCTGCTTGGAGAGCTCCCTGCGAACCTCTGTGTCTGAACACGCACGCCGTTGTCCGAGCAATGACTTGAACTCGGCGTCGTTCCAAAACTTGTTATTCCTTGCTCTCTTGGGGCCGCTGCCACATTCGTTGGCGACTTCTCGAACAACATGTTCCAGATCAGAAGGAGTATGTGGAGGCGAATCCTGAACCGCATGATCCAGCCTTGAATGGTACACGCTCTCGGCGTCGTACGGGGCCCATCCTCTGACGATTCGCTTGCGCCCCCTCGGGCGCGGGCCCCCAGACCGGAATCTGAGCTCCGCCAAAACTGCTCTATGGTCTGATCCCAGGCTGATGCTGTCGACCGCCTGTCCCTTGACTACCTCCAAGCACGGGGTGGCGAAGATGACATCGATCCGGCGCTTGTGCCCAGGAGAACTTTGAAATGTCCACGTGTCCTCAAAGCTGGGCTCGTCGGACTCGTTTGCCGCCTGCAGGCCGAAGGACGACAGCATTTGGTCAACTTGTGGCCCTCGTGCCCCATGATGTAGCTGGGTATTGAAGTCTCCACCAAGAACGATTTTTGCACCGAGCCGAGAAGCATCAGACATGGCAACGCTAAGCTGGTCAATTGTTGTATGAAGGTCTTCCACAGAATAGCCCGCATGGGGCACATACGTTGCAATGAACGCGAATGGCCGCCCAAAAATTTAAACGTGCAGTGCAATAACCCGGTCTGAATACAGCCGGGGATTGATGATATTGGGGACGTGGCGACGGTGAACAAGAACAGCGACACCTGCGAGCAGCAGCCGGCAAGATGCGTATAGAGTTTATGCCCGTCTTCCAGATCCAAGATACCCGCTGGCGCGCGAGTTTCGCTGAACAGAACCATGTCCCACAATATGCTATGTAGTTCGCCCATTAATTCTGCAATCCGCGCTGGGTTATTCAACCTAGCGCTCTTGCAATACACGTGCAGAATCCCATGTTGTGCATGGGGTGAAATTCGATTCGACCGGAGCTGTCCCTAGTGGCGCGTGGCCTCGCCACCCTTCGACTTGCCTTTGCCGCCGCCTTTGGTTGTTTTGTCCCTGTTCTCGCGGAGCATGTCGCGGAACTCGGGATGTTCATCCGTGATCATGTACTTCTCCCACTCCGGGCTGTGCTCCACCTTGAGAACCCCGTCCGGACAGGCTCACCTTGCCAACATTGACGGTAGGGTCCCAATCAACATTGAGCTCTGACCGTGACCAGCCCCATTTTGACATGATGAATTTTGTTCCAAAAGCAATGCCCCGGACAATCTTTTGGTCAATTGGAAAATCTGGCTTGGCCCATACCTCTTTGTTTCCAGCAGTCGATTTGTGCATAATCTCAACGGCCCGGTCCCTCTCCGTCTGCGAACCGAACTTGGCGAAGACGAGCCCTTTGAAGTCGCCCTTAATGTAAATATCTGATGGTTGGGGGCCCCACGAATTCCATAGTGCATCTTGGACCCATTGTTTGGCCCCATCAAAACTCACCAAGGAATCCAAACCACCAATGACGACTGAGCAAAGACTGTCCAACCCTCTCGGGGGAGCCCTGGATGCACTCATCTTGTCAATCTTGTTTAAAAGGTCCTGCAACCACACCTTCATGGTTTCAGGCGTGGTCACAACTTCCATCGACGAAAAACGTTCTTCACAATACCCTTTGAATTCAGCAAGGTCTGCTGAAAGGTTATCGATGTTAAGGTTCGTCATCTCCTCGTTCTCGCGCACCTGGTTCCTGAGATTGCTCATGTGTACCTTCAGTTCCTTGACGTCGTTTCTGAGAGGCTGGAGTTTTTCATCAAATAGGGCCCGTAAAGCAGACATAGTATTTGCTGGCTCACTTCCGGGGGATGCGACGCTGTGAACTTCGGGGACGATTGGGGAGTCAAGGCCTCCATCTCCTGGAGAGGGCTGCGAAGACGCTGACGGACATCTCGGCCCCCCTGATTGTTCCCCCGCTCCCCTCCGACAGGTGCGCCCGGCATCCGAGTGCCACGAAACGAACTCGACCCCCGAGTCGGCGTTGAGGTCGCCGCCGCAAGATCCTGCTCCAAGTTCAAGCGAGACATGGTTGTGCTCGGCAGCGCAACTGGAGAGAGAAATGAATGAGATGTGAAGGGTGAGCGAAAGGTGTGAGCTAAAGTATCAGACGGCTTGGCTAAACCCTTAAACCCTTGTCAAAATGTTAAAATGTGCGTCGGACACTCTTTTGAAGCTTGTGCTGACCATGTTCAACAACATCCTGCGGACGGGCACCGTCGACCCGAGCTGGCACGACACGCTGTTCGTGATGCTTCCGAAAAACGGAGACAGGAGCAAACCCGGCAACTGGCGACCCATCGCCATCTTGCGGACAACGTATCAGATATTCTCAAAGTTGGTACACGAAAGACTAAGAGGGCACCTTGAAGCAAAGCAGCCGCCAGACCAAGTGGGCTTCCGGAAGCAGCACTCAATCGACGACGCTTTCGCCGTGCTGGAGAACGTGTGCGGCAAATCTCTGGAGTGGAATATCCCATGTTGGCATGTTGGGTTGCAAGCCTTGATCTGAAGACAGCTTTTGACATAATCGAGTATCTTGCTCTGTTCGAGGCCTTGCGGGTACAAGGTGTGGAGCAGTCGCACATAGCTCTACTTGCGATGCTGTGCAATCATCAGACGGGGCGCGTGCAAGGCTCGCAGAACTTCGGCATTAACAGAGGTGTCAAGCAGGGGGGCGTCATCAGCCCCTACGCTGTTCAGCGCCGGCTTGGAGCTCGCACTTTCCAGGTGGAAGCTCTCTCTAGGCTCTAGGCAATCGTGGACTTGACGTGGGCGGCGTGTCCGGCGAGAGGCTCACCAACGTCCGATGCGCCGACGATTTCATTGTCTATGCCACATCCTGCAGCGAACTGTGCGATATGATAGAGTCACTGTGCGTTGA